TAACCTAACACTAAACGTTAACGCTAACGCTCTAACCCTAACCCTTAACCTAAACCTAACCCTAACCCTAACCCTAACCCTAACCCTAAACCTAACCCCCCTAAACCTAACGCTAACCCTGAACCTAACCCTAAACCTAACCCTTAACCTAACCCTAACCCTAACCCTAACCCTAACCCTAAACCTAACCCTTAACCTAACCCTTACCTTTATGTGAATCGGCTTGCTTTTTTTTAATTTTAATTTTAATTTAATTTATTTTTAATTTTTTTCATCGCGCTGCTGATGAGGTCACGTACGCGCTTTCGTCGGGCACGCTTTATTCTACCGCGGTTTTGACGGGTCATGGGGTGGCTGAACCTTCGTCCCTGGAAAACATGCGGACTTCAACTCCCAGGAGTCCCCCCCAAAGCTGGCTGGGGAATCCTGGGAGTTGAAGTCTGCACGTCTTTGAGCAGCCAAGGTTGAGAAACATGGGTCCAGGTGCTGCTGAGAAAGTCCCCCGTGCTTTGGTGCCCAACCTAAAAAAGAAAAAAACAAAACACCGCGCGCACCCATGAACTACGACTCCCTCCTTGGGGCGATGCCAATTCAGCCGAGCAAAGCAGCCAGAAGTCTTTCTGCAAACACAGATTGCAAATGGGTCACTGGCACCAGCAGAGGAGGGAGGGACCGAAGGCCCTTCTGATCTTTGAGGCATCCGTTATCCCGGGAGGGAGTCGCGTCCCTCTCGGTCCGTCTCGACCTCTGATGATCGGCCAATCCATGGGCTGTTTCGGTTGTGTTTTCACTGGCCGGGAAACAAAACATGAAGGATTTACCCAGGCCTGAGCTGAATTCAGGCTGAATAGAGCTCAAATACTGACCTCACCACCAGCTGAAACAAAACACACACACACACAAACACACACGGAGCTACTTCCTGATTCTTAGACATATTGACAAAGTTCTCTCTTCCCATGGTATCCACGGACGAGGTCAGCAGGTGATGGCTGCCAGCCACAAAGCCTTGCTGAATATTCATCGCCTGGGCTTCCCGTGGGTTGGGGTCTTTTTCATTTTAAAAACAAAAGGTGAGTCCTGGGTCTCCCTACACTCTCTGTGTCCTTCTCCCCTTCCTTTTCAGGCCTGGTGGGTGGGCGATGGCTTCTTCACAGACATCTGGCACCAGTGCTTCAATGAGACGAACTGCACCGCCTTGGACAACACCCTTCCAGGTGAGTCTCCGGGAGGACTTTCCCACTGGCTGGGACACTCCAAAGGCACCTGTGGGGGGTGGGGGGTGGAGTCTGCCCCCCTCCCTCCCATCAGCCCCAAAGTCTCCTAAGTAGCCTGTGGTTTGTAAAAGGGCATCCTGGCATTCAGCATTTTCCCAATGGCGCAGAAATAGGGCGTGTTACTGGGGCTGTGATAGATCAGCGGTTAAAGATGCTGGGCTTGTCAGCTGACAGCCCCCAGTTCAAGTCCCCAGAGCTGTTATCAGGGTGAGCTCCAGTTACCGGCCCCAGCAGCTGCCCTCCTAGCAGTTAGGAAGCATGCAAATGCAAGTAGATAAATAGGTACCGTTTTGGTGGGAAGATAACGGCGTTCCATGACCAGAGAAGCGTCTTCGGACAACGCTGGCTCCCTCGGCCAAACAACAGAGGTGACCGCTGCTCCCTCGGGTCAGACATGACTGGACAGGGAAACCTTTACCTTCATATTCTGTTTCTAGGCTTCCGTCCTTGATGCTGCCTCAGATAAGGAAGCTTTTTGGGGCTGGGGGATGCAGGCTGCAGCCCTGTCTGCTCCCCCAGGGGCGTCTGGGACGCCGGCCCCAACTGAAAACCCCTTTCCTCTGGGATCTCCCCCTCTTTGAGGAGTGGGGCCTTTGCCAAGGCGCTTGGGGGGGGGGAAGAGGAGGAAGGGAGTGGCCCAAAGCTGCCCCATTCAGAGGTTCCTTGCAGTGGAAGCCGCTGATTTTCCTGTGGAGGAAATCGAGGATGGAGAGTTGGCAGGAGAGCCCGGGCTCCTTTTATTGTCCTTCGGCAGGAATTGGCACGAGGACTTCTTGGGCAGGATGCGGCTGGGCCTGGAGGCGGAAAGGCCGGTGGAAAATGGGCTTGGGCAGGGGAGGCCCCTGAGGTGCTGCTGTTGCTGCTGCTGTCCGGAAGGAGGAGGGGGCTGGCTCCAGCTTGCCTTTGAAGCTTCTCCAGCACTGGGCCTTAAGCCATCAATCCTGGCTTGCCAGCCACGGCCTCTTGTGCTGCACAATCCGGCGGGGGTGGCCAACCGTGAGAACTTTTAAGACCCAGGAACTTCAACTCCCAGAATTCCCCAGGCCTTAAAAGTTGCCCGGGCTTCCGCGATGGCTGGGGAATTCCGGGAAGGGAAGTTGCCAAGGGTCGAGCCCTTTGCACGAGGTGGGCCTGGTGGGCCGTTTGCCTGAGGGGCGACCCGTCTCCACATGCCTTTTCATTCGCCCCGCCCCTCCCTCCAGAATACGCGTCTATCCAGACCGTCCAGGCCTCCATGATCCTGGCCACCATCCTGTGCTGCGTGGCCTTCCTGGTCTTCGTCCTGCAGCTCTTCCGCCTGAAGCAAGGGGAGAGGTTCGTGCTGACCTCCGTCATCCAGCTC